AGAAGCTTTGTAACTTTAATGTTTGCCAGTACATCTGTCGTACCCATTGGCTTATTAATTATAAAAACTTGTTTTTCACAGGGGGCCAGAGGTGATGTTTAATTTTCTCTACACAGGCTAGCTAATATATGACCATAAAAACTTGGCATAGTTTTCTTTCTTTCTCTTTTTAATGGAGTTATATTCTCTGTTTGGTTTTGTTGTGACATTCTGGAGCCTTCTAATTTAATTTGTTTTGCTCCTGTTATTTGATTAACCAGGTGACACTGCCAAACCTGGTCAGTTATCACCCAGATACAACCTGAAGGCTAGAAGGGAAGTGAACTTCCTGGGACATACATGTGGCAAATGATCAGAGGGTAAAAAGAGTTTCTAAATTATTAACCAGGTTAATAAAAATAGAACAATGTTTAAAATTTTTTATCTTCTCATTTTTGTTATTTGTACACATGGTAATTATGGGACGATAACTGATGGGCAAAATGTAAATGTGTGTGTATGTATACTAGGTAGTATTTACTTAGAGTTGACTGGAGTGTAAACTACAGAGAGAAAAAAATGATAACATGTTATTTTCAGTATTTATATTGTGTCTTCTCCCCTCCCACTCAATTCCTTCAATTGTCTTCTAGATTAGAAATAAGTATTGTTTCTCTGAGTGTTTTTATTTGTTTGTTTGCTTTTTAGATTTTTCTCTTCCCATCATCTACCTTTCCCCATTGGGTGTTAAAGAAAATAATAAGGCATATGATTTTAATAATCTTCAGCATTCAGATGACAGAGAGTCACTTTGAAGGAAAAGGAAGCCATATCAGGCAGAATTTACACAGCAGTGGATGGGCTTTCAGCAGCGGTTGTTAGTGCTAACACCGTTTTCCCAGTTGCTGGTATTAAGGTAGCAGCAGGCCCATACTAGCAGAGCTGTGATGTCCCAAGCACAGCTGTATTTCTGCCATTCCCGCAGGTTTGTGTGCACCTGGGAGCAACCACACCCAGTTGGTATCAGTCAACAGTGTATCATGCCATGTGTTTTTTTAATTCATGATTTCCTCTTGAAACTCCACTGAGGAGTGTTAACTGTGTGCGTTTTTTTAAATTCAGTTTTGTATGCTAGCATTCTTTAAATGTCTGCCAGAAGTTTAATTTGAATTTCTGATCCCTGAAGGCAGCTAGACAGAATCATTCTAGTTCTTCATAAATTGCCTTCTATGATTCATTGTTAACTCATAAAACATACTCCTTTCTATATACTCAAATAGTTAAGGTAGTTACAGTATCGGAAATTTTTTTTTTTTTGCCTTATATTTAAATCGTCTTTTGAGAAAGAAATGAAGAATTAGCTTGAACTCCCAGTTAAGGCATGAGCCCTGTAGCACAGAAAACATCAGAAATGAATATTTTTATCTCAAGGAGGTTGAAGTAGATGGCATGGAATCTGAAAAAAAAAAAAAAAAAAAAAAAAGTTTCGTTTTTACTGAATCCTCCCAAAGAGGGGCCCATAAATATTAGAGTGCTGTAGTTAAAAACTCACATGACTGTTTTAAATACTATTGATTTAAACCACTGGCTAGATTTTATGAATCAAAGTGTAATTTTGAAGCTTTGGCCATATTTCTCAATGCTAAAGCACTCTCTCTTGTGTGCCTTTAGCCGCTTTCCAGACATTCAACACAGGATTAAATGATAGTAGTTACAGTGATCAATAGGTTAAGACTGCTACAATCACTCTTGCCGCTAATGACCTCAGTAGTAATGGGCAATAAAGTGTGGGCTGTAATAGTCTCTCGCTGGTACTGCATGCCCTTTGATTCCTAGTATTAGTAGGGACTAGCTACATGAAAAAGTTGGATGTTGGGAATTAAGGGAGTGGATATGTAGGCTATAATTCTTAACTATTTAAAGCCTTAAAAACTGTGCTCAGATTTTTTTTTTTTTTCTTTTCTACCCCACCATAGTTTCTGGTCCATTTGAATATGTTTGTTAAAGCTTTCCATAACCTCTTTTCATGATATGTTGGAACAGAAACTTTGGGGAATTCTCGGTTTTATAACATTGCTAAATGAAGCTGGAGCCCACTTTGGAGGCCCAGAGCTCTCTGGTATTAAAACATGGTTTCAGATAGTAAAAGCGAAGTTAAGGCCATCAGGATATAATAGCCCACTTCTGATTATTCAGAGACTGATCAACCCGTTTGGAGGATTACCCAGGCCTCATGCTTCCTCCCCTCCTTTGGTGGTGGTGCCTGCTGCTGTAAAGCGTATTATTACTCATCGGCACTTGCATCAAAATGTCCGAAAGGAAAAAGAAGGGGACACTCAAATTCATTATCCTGTTCTGCAACACGACTGCAAAAAAAAAAAAAAAAAAAAAAGGAATAAATAATTGTGGGAAAAGGAGATTTAAACCACTGATGGGATGTCAGCCTTTCAAAATTGTCTGTGCATGTATATGTCAGGCCTGTCCATGATTCCCCCTTTTATTATTGACAGTCAAGGGACAAAGTCGTTTCTCCTTTAAGGAGATGCTTCTAGTTTTAGCAGAGTTAAGGGACAAAACTATTTTAGGAGACATATGTAACTTCTAAAATCAATTTTATTGAGGGATAATTTACCTGAGCTCAAATATACTCATTTTCTTCCATAGTTGAAAGAGTTTTGACAATTGTATACATGTGTATGAGCAGCACCCCAGTTGAAATATAAGATATTTCCTTTGCCTCCAAAAGTTCACCTGTGCCCCTTTGTGGCATGAGGTTTCCATAGGTCTTTTTTAAAATGACCAGGAGGTTATTTCCATGATGATTTCTGTCCTAACTCTGTTAAGTTCATGTTCATCACCAGTTTAAATCTTACACCACCCTATTCCTGCCTGTTTTCCTGTTCATCACCATCAGAAATTTGGCTCAAGAATATTTATATTGTACATCATCCAAGAAACGCAGAGGAAAAAAGAGACCTTAAACATGGTTCTTTTGTTTGCTTAATCATACCTCCCCGTATAATGATGCAACTCTCAAGGAAAAGTAAACTTCTATTGTGATATGCTGGCTTTAGCAGCTCGAAAGGATACAGATTGGCACCCAATACATATTTAAAAATCAAAAAAGTTTTTTCTGTATGAAGACAAAGTAGACTAATTGGAATTAGTTTGTAGATAGTTAGATGTTTTGATAATGTCTTCCTGGTGTTTGCCCTAGACTGAATGCAGGTTCACTGTTCCAATCATTGGTGATATTTCGTGCTACAAAGTATCTTTTTAAAAGGATAATTTATCCATTCATATACATCTGTCCCATTTTGCATATGAAAATATTCAGACATGCCCATCTGTTTTAAATTACAGTGTATCTACATCTACACTTAAAAGGCCACTGGAATAGGAAGAATTCATAGATGACCTTCCAGAGCTGGGTTAATGAAATTTTTCGAATGTTCTAGCTAGTGTTTTCCAAACACACGAAACTTGCACACCAGCATCCCCACACATGAAACATGCCCACCACAACAGTGGAGAACATTCACTGTACATGAATCTGACCTTCAGGAACCATTTTTAGTTCATCAAAATTAGTGATGCTGAGAAATCGGGACATCAGTGCATAATGACTGTGAAATTAGGAATGAGAGCTCGCTATGCAAATGACAGGACAAATCATGTGAAAAAGTCAAGATAAACTGCATATTAAGACATTATGTTACATAAAATTAATACTGCATTTCTGCCTTTTGCTTACTGCTCCCCTGAACGATTTTTTGATTCTTTTATCTTCTGATCAGCTATTGTCTGCCGGATTTTTTTTTTAAGTGGCACACAGGCAAAGTGCAAAACATGTTATTACCTTTTATTGTAATACATGAGATGACAGCAGATCCTTTTTAACAAAGTATATCCTTTACTGCTTCTAGCTTCTTGCTGTCACATGTTTGATTAGAAACCAAAGAAAAGTAAGATGCTTAAATATTACGGTTAAAAGACATACAGGTTTTGTCTTTTCTTTCATTGTTTTTTTCTTTCCTTATCTTTTTACGGAGGGGGGTGATTTTTCATGAAATAGTCTTCTTGCATTACGGGGACTGACAAAATGGTTCTCATGTAGTCTGCAAATTAAACACAAGTGCAGTGATTATTTTGAATAGCTAAATTACATTCTAGAAAGCTTGCAGAATTCATAGCATTGTCATTAGGTATCCGCTTGAATACAATTTGTGTAACCTTGGCCAAGACAGCCTGTCATTTTAATGTCAGTGTTTTATCTGAACAAGACATCATCCTTTCAGATACAGTGTGCAGGTTCCTTGCAGAGATGCCCGTGCAGAAACGTGTTAACAGTTGCAAATATGAAATGCTATCAAGTTCATCACTGTAGCTGTTTGTCACTGAAATGTCATGGAAAGCGGCTTTTAATGGTATTGCACATAATATGAAAGAATTGAGACATCTGTATGCTGGGGGAATAAGGAAGGGTAAAAGGCATCATGCGAAGGGTCTGTGTTTAAGTTCAGAAGGTGTGTCCAAGGTTCCGTTCCCCGCAAGCCTAAGCATTCATGGATTGTTCTTAAAATCACTGTCCACAGAGTGAGTGGGTCACATGAGCTCCAACTGCGAAGGTGTTGGTTCCCATTTATCTTCTTCCCTAAAACAAAATCCAAGTTTGGGTTAAATTGCCACAGATCGTTTTGATCAAAAACTTACTCTTAATAAGCAATTGAGAACTGTCTATCCTAACTCCAGTTAGGGTTTATTAAGATTGTCCTTTTTGTCTACTTCCAAGGCTGCCTGGAACCCCTGTCAGTACAGCAAGATTTTATTTTTCTTTCCTCAAAATAAACTCCATCCTAGATTAACTAGAATCTGTTGCTACATCCCCTCCGGATAAATAACATGTTGCATGGGAAATTGGTCAACTCTTTAAGCAGGCTGATGGCAGTCTGCACCTGAACCTGGGAGGCTGCGTGCTTCTGATTTCCTGGCTTCGTATTTATCCTTCATTAACGTTCTAGGTTCCCGTGTCAGTGGCTATGATGACACCTCAAGTTATCACTCCCCAGCAAATGCAGCAGATCCTCCAACAACAAGTGCTGAGCCCTCAGCAGCTCCAGGTTCTCCTCCAGCAGCAGCAGGCCCTCATGCTTCAACAGGTAATTGTCCTTCCTCCGCCTCCAGCCTGTCTCCCCCAGAACCTAGGGCCCCCATCGCTCCATTCACAGTCTCCCCTGCACCAGAGCAGCTCCTTTGCCCAGTGAAAAGTAAGTAGAGCGGCGTGGGCGGGGCAGGACACAGACCAGTCCCTGAATAATCAATGAGCTTCTGCATGCCTGAAAGAGAGGAGCCCTGCCACAGTGACTAGGCTTTGGGCCTGGAAAGTACCTGATGGACTGAGATCAGCGCTGTAATGGACTTGGTAGCAGTAAGATCTTTTAGGCTTAGATGGCTTTACACTCTTTTATTTGGTAAGCCCAGAGGCTCCTTAAATGGTATGAATCAAAGCAAAATGAGGAGCACGTTGGGAGTGGGTTTAAATATGACAGCTCTTGAAGTCCCCATTTCAGCTCAGCAGCTTACTGATTTTTTTTTTCTTTAAACATAAGCATTTTGGAGTTTGCTAATTTTAAGGTCCAGAGTTGATTTTACATCTTCCACGTACGATGTTGCCGTAATGAACTTCTGGTTGTCATTGCACCATGGGGACCTAATATTCAGACTTCACAGCCACCTGAACCAAATAGATGAGATGCGGAACTACAGTGGTGGGAGTCACTGGCCTGGGGTGGTGGGGACAGGATGCAGCGGAAGCTCCCAGGGCTGTCCCTGCATATACTGAATAACACTGCATAGTGCCCAGCTCTGTCATTTAGAAAGCATGCAGAAGAGATTCACCAGACTTTCTCAGCAAGGGCATTTCGCTTTGTTGTACAATCAAAGGTCATTCCTTGCCTTATTTTAATTAGTTTGTGTAGAAAATGGTATGTTTTTCATCAGTTCATTTTGGAGATTACTTTTCAAACAATAATGCCAAGAATAGTCAGTGTGCGCTGAATTTATTGTCGAGTTTCAAACTAAAGGTCAGGCCATTACAGATAAAAGGATGCTATTTTTCAAATCACAGTTTGTGTATGGCACCAAAAGGGACAGTGCATTGGCGCTACCCTCTGTTACTTACCGTCCTCTCTTTCCTTTGTAGCAGCAGCTTCAAGAGTTTTATAAAAAACAACAGGAACAGTTGCAGCTTCAACTTTTACAACAACAACATGCTGGAAAACAGCCTAAAGAGGTACCGACAATACATATTTTACTTTCAAACCACAGATCCCAGAGGACTATCTAGTGGCTATTAAACTGTCATTCATCTTTTAAATGATTGCACAACTGAGCTGACTCTATCGGTTCTCAGCTTTCAGACTGAGAGTTATTGTCCTGTTTTTGCTCAGATTTTTCTGGGTTCCATTTGCTTGCTGCCACATATTTTATAACACCACTGCACATGTACCTGTGTGAGGATCAGGAGAGGCATCATTGACAGAGCCTTCAGGTTACTTTTTGCAACGTGGTAACAACTGAGGGCCAGGATGGAGCTGTGGGAAGTGAAGTGCTTTCAGAAAAATTTTACTTGGATGCCCACTTAATTTTCTTTTTCCCAGCTCAGAGAGCTTGGGTGTGTGGTGATGGCCTTTTCCATTTGAAGAATAACCCCTTGTGAGTTGGATAAACAAACAAAAAAGTTAGAACAAGATTAAACATCCACATCTTTTGTTTAACTTCTTCCTGAAAGTTGTACATAATGTGATTGCTAAAGGCATGTACCAGATAGCATGAGTTAAAGTTAGAGAAGACTCCAGCTTGGGTTGTGCTTTCCTGATGGGGGGCAGAAAAAAGTATATAATAGCTTCTACATGCATCATGCTTGGTAGTGTCCATAACTTACCACGTTATGCCACACCACGAAGGTTGACAGTGTTAGTCCCATAAATGGGAAGGCCTTTCCAGGGAGTTCCCAGTTCACCTTCTATTCAATTCTACGTGGGTGAGACTCAGTTGTGGGCGTATCTGTGTGCATGTGTGCGTTATTATGACATCTTTCTACCCATTCCAGAGTTATCCATTTTAACTTGCCTCCTCATATTTCTACAGTGGACTGAAATTTTTTTTTGCTTAAGTGTTCTCCTTGGGATGACACAATTTATAATTCTTTATACAGCACGTCGTCCACTTCAACAGCTTCTTCGCCAGCCCTAAGCAGGTGGTCACTTTTGTTCTTTTGCAGGGCGTCCTGCCAGGTGACTCGACATCCCTGCCCCTCACCTGAGTGAGGATCCTGGGCTGTGCTAATTTTACACACTGGGAGTGACCCAGACGTTCTCCCTTTGCTGCCTCCTCCCCCGACACAAATTGGGGACGTTTTCCATGTCCTGCCAAGTTTTCACCCTGGAGTCCTGTTGAGCAGCCCGGATGTAAAGCCCTGCAGAGCAGGGGCAGTTTTGGGGTGAAAGGGGGAGGAGGTGTTTTAATGAAAATGCTGACACAACCTTATGTACAGTGGCGCGCTACCGGGTGCTGCTATAATAAAAAAGGGAACAGATTAAAAAGTGTCTAAAATGTAAATCTAAAGGACTAACAGTAATTAAAATGGAAATGGCACAGGGAGGGAAGGCATGTAATTGTGAGATATCACTGTGCAGAAGGCTCTCAGCTTTGTTTTGCTGGCTGTTTTTCTAATTCAGCAGGGCTTACTCATCAGTGGCAGTTCAATGCGCGTTAATGACTCTGGGATTGCAGGCATCACTCTGGACAAAGAAATGATTATTGTGCGGTCAAAAGAAGTTCAAAGACAAGAAGGGAATTTCAGTTTTTTCCTTAGAGATCCACATTCAAGAGCATATAAATTAAGCCAAATGTTAAAAACCACAGTCTGAAAGCTGACTTCAAAGTCACAACTCTCTAATTAATGAACTGCGAGCTTCAGTTTGGACAAGTTGTGGTTTGATGCGCCCATAAATCAACATGACAGGCCTGTTTCACAGTCTCAGACAGTGCTTGTCATTGAGTCACATCAGATGTAAACACAGCAGAAAAAAGAAGGGGTATGAAGGAGGTGCAATTGATCAACAGAATTGGTAAAAACCCACTTTTGAAGCACATTATGCATGATCACAGGAAATGGTTACAGCCTCAAGAGGTTTCCCCTTCTGCTGTTGCTTTTTTGAATCAGATTGCTAACAGCCTTCAAAAGGGAGAATAAGAATTATGGAGTTTCTCCCCTGTGGCTTGCAGGCAATAACCCCCTGTTGTTATTTTGTGCTTCTTTCTTTTCAAAGGCATCAAAATTTAGTTTTTTAAAGATCTTTAACTCTATATTTGAAGACAAACAAAAAAGGGCTGCCACTGTCATTCTTATCAGTTACCAGGGATTGTGTTTTTCCTTTCTGTTGCCACTTCTTATTAACCTCTTATTTTGTCTGCGAGACATAGTTTGGAATGCACGTCTGCACGCTGGGAGAACATGAAAGTTCACATGAGCGCAGAGGGCAGATAAAGAAATGTGAAGGGGAAAGTTACACAGCAGAAAGAAGGATAAAAGTTACCTCTCCCAAATTGCTGTAGTCAGAAAGGAGAGCATCCCAGAGCACGAAGCTGATAGTGGTGCCTGAGTTTGGGAAGGGAGTGGAGCAGGGGGTCAGAGGAAAGAGAACACTATGTCTGAACAAGGAGAATGGGAGGCAATGTAGCAACAACCTTGCATCTCCAGGTCTCTAAGTTTGCTCTGGTCCATGCTTTGTCATCTACTTCCCAGGCAGTGGTGACCCGGGATATAGGTTGCTTGGCATATCCTTTGAGGTGGGCAGACCAGTGGATGGGTCTCCTTGGATTCGTGGTGCCAGTGGATTTGTCTGAGACCCAGGGTAGCAATGGTTAGCAGATTTGTATTTTCTTGAGGTAGGGGCCAGTCTCCTGCAATTACCATGCAGGTGGTGGTCCTTTTGTGCTAAAATGAGATGGAGTCACACGGTAGCAATTTCATGATGTCGACTGGTGGTTATGATTTTAACAAGGTTTGAACTTGGATGTTGACAGATGGAACAAGTATGTTAATTTACTGAGTCCCCAGTCACTAGTGGCTCATAATTTTGTATTTTCAGGCTCCCCACACCCCTCCTTCTTTTTTTTTCCTGTTTTGATTATCTCTTCAGTGAGACACCTGATCTTTGGCGGGAACAATGTACCTTTGCTCTTTTTTTTCCCTCCCCTCCTAAAGTTCCTTGAGATGTTTCCTTGGGAAAGTTTGGCTCCATACTGGGTTGCACCAAGACAGGACCTTCCTTAAGAAGGTAGATGCTCTTAGGTAGGAATATGGGGAGGAAGAGGATGTAGGCCCAATACAGGTATTGAAGTGACTGCTCATAATTATTGGGCAGAAGTGGTGTGGAAAATAGCAGAATTCATTTTTAAATGGGCTACAAAAAAAATAAAAAAATAAAAAGATTCCATCCTGTGCGGGTGAGGTAGGCTAAGTTGATTGTTTTAAAAGGGCCGTTTGTCCGGGGCAGTTATGACAGTTTATGTTAGGCAGTAGGGAGTAGCCGAAGAAAGGAAAACAGACCTTTGACTGCAGCTCTAGGGAGGGGATCCGAAACTCGAGGTTTATCAGGGCATTTGAGCATTTTAACACTGACTACTGACCTGCCGAGGGGACTGCACGGAGACCTTTTTTGTATGCATTCAATTGTGAGAAGTAAACAAATGGACCCGTATCCTGTGTTTGGTAACTGGGTGGGGAGCGCAGTTTGGCAACCAGTGTTGCTTTTAAATTCTTTCTTTGGACAATGGGCCTTGTATACTTTTATATCCTGGCTTTTCAAACGTAGACAGCTTTCATGAGCTTTTCCTAGGGATGGCCACAGAGACAACAGAAAAGGCATCAGTCATTTTATATAAATACAAAATTTTTAAACATTTCAGTTACAGTAAGGCAGGAAACACCCTCCCCAACCTCCAGCTATACCACCCCCTCCTTTATATTCTGCTTTCAGAAGAGCTAATTCCCTGATCTTGTATTGTGTCAATGTTGTTTTTTTCTCTTCCTTCCCTTTTTTTTTTTTTTTTGTAATGTTGTGAGTTAATATCTGTTGAAGAACTGAAAAAATCATTTTGACATGAATATAACTATCATTGGGTTTTACATTAGTGTGATAACTTGGGAAGGGGCGAAAAACAATTGGATCATTTTATGCATGCTGTTCTTAAAATGAAAACACTGGCTTTTCATTTAAATTTATTTAAATTTTTGTTGTTAGTGGTATAGAATTTGTTTTTTGGAGTGAAACTCAATTAACTTTCTCAGTGGCATGGTAGTAAGTCTGAAATTGGTTGCTAATATGAGAATGATGGTTTTTACTGTAAAATAAACTACATGAAGACCGAAAGGAAACCACCATTTTTCTCTTTCTTTGAACTTTGCATCGGAAGGTCTTGATATACATACCATTTTATGGATGTATCAGATCAAGGTCATGTGTTAGGTTAAGTGAATGCAGTTGTTTGTAAAGTATAGTTATTAGCCAGAACATGCAGTCTCTGAAAGGGCTTGGATAGTCCTTTTAGTTGTAAACGTCTCTCTGATCTTTTGAATCATATTCAGAATTAGGAACACTGATCTTGTTCTTTTCTTGAAGAATCTTTTTTTGTTTGTTTGTTTTTGCTACAGTTTAGGAAGGGTTAATTTTCCTTTTATAATTGTTAGCCATAATGTGGCTAAGACCTCCACCTCGATATGATTCCTAGCAGATTAAGGATATTAGATAATTTCCTTCTATTTATTGTACTACTGCACTGTATTATCTTTCTATCACTCAGATAATTACTGAGGAAATCTACATTAATTTTTTTGGCTGAAGCAAGGCCTGCTAAACACAGGAATGATGTATTGATGTTTTACACAACAAAAGTTTTCCTCCTGTCATTGTGCAATCAACAAAAAGATATTTATCATGTCGTAAAGCCCCTTCTTTTCAAGAACAAAGCAGGTGGGGGAAGCAGGACCAGCAACCAGACCTGGGGGTTTCTGAGACTAAAGCCACGTTAAGGCATCTGAAGCTTAGACTGTCGTTCATATTAAACTTACAGTCGAGTACGATGTTGTTTGCTAAATTATGAATGTGTGTAATTAAAATCTAGTGGCTGTTTCTATGAAAGATTTACAATGTTATTTCATCGTTTGTCATGGCTAATTAACAATATTAGATGAAGTTTTTCTTCTTCAAAGGTCTGATTTTTTCTCATTTATTTATGTCAGAAGTGATAAACAGAGTAGTTAAAAGCTTCTGCCGGTGCAGGCAGGGAGGGAGGCAACTTGTTCTTTTACACCTCAAAGGTTCAGGGTTCAAACCCCTTCAGACCAGAATGATGCAGTCTTCTCTCTAGTGTGCATAATTAAAAATTTCAAAGTCGAAAAGTTCACATCTTGATGACAAAACTTAGGCCTTTCAAACTGTGGGGAGAGCTGGCTTGATTGACGAATTATTTATTTATGGGAGCGGGCAGTAGGAAGGTAACACTCACCCCCTCACCCCTCTTCAGAGGAGGTATGTTCTGTCCCTTTTAAACCTTGACACGGAGCCCTCCACTGAGCTCCAGTGACCGTTCTCAGCATTTGACTATGATGGTGGGTTTTGAAGTGTCCATACTTTTAACCTTCCTTGGGAAGTGGCCATCTCATTTTTTTCTTCCTGATTTCTTACAGCAACAGCAGGTGGCTACCCAGCAGTTGGCTTTTCAGCAGCAGCTTTTACAGATGCAGCAGTTACAGCAGCAGCACCTCCTGTCTTTGCAGCGCCAAGGCCTTCTGACAATTCAGCCCGGGCAGCCTGCCCTTCCCCTTCAACCTCTTGCTCAAGGTATGCGTTGATTATATAGAAGGCATAGCTCTGTGAAGACTTTGGGTGGAGGTGGTGAGCTGTCTCTTGGTATATTTGTTAAGGACGTTGTCCATCAAAACATGCAGTAGCCTCTTTTAAGAAAAGTGGAGTGGGATCGTGATGGACCCATGTAGAAGGTAAAATGCTTGTTGATGGCAAAATAAAGTCTTAGGGTGGTCTGAAGGCTAGGCTGTCGCAGAGCAGTCCCGTTGTTGGACATTCTTGGAGTAACGGAATGAGACACTACTTTGCACTTATTGAGCATTTTAGTGGACTCTTGCAGTGTTTCTCTTTGGAACCACAAAGGAATTTTCCTGAAGCCTTTTATTATTTATTTAAGGCATTTTTTTTTTAACCATGTAACGTGTGCTATTTTAAATCTTAGCAAATGCCATGTTTTAATATCTAGGGATAAATTCAGGTTTACTTTTCTGTAAATGGTTAAAATCAACCACTTTCTGTTACGAAAGCCAAGGTGGTTTTTTGTTTAGTTTCTTTTTTTTTTCTTTTGACATTCATCTGTTGATTTTTGAACAAATTAGTTCTGCACTCATCAGAACAGGTACCGTTTCCATCCCCAGTTCTTCAACCTCTGAGATTTCTTGAAGAGTAAGATTTTAAACATTTAGTGAATTTCTTTTGAAAAGCCCACTGACATTTTATCCTGAGGGTGATGGACATCAGAAACAAATGGGAACTCTAGGCGTTTTTAGGACATTGTCTTGGTTTAAGCAACTCTGACTTTCACATATGTGATGTGAAAGCAGATGGATTATTCAGAACTAGAAAGGAAGGTGGGAGGGAAGGAGGAAGGGATGTCAAGAGGGAGGGAGGGCGGACAGGCTGGAAGGAAGGAAAGAGAAAGTAGAAAGTGCCATGCCTATGTTTTGAAGCGCAGTTCCCCCATCCATGCATGGTAGAGCAGAGTTGAGTTGCCTCTTCAAGGCCAGAAGTTCTTTGAACTCTAGTAAGTTTGGATGTTGGTTTATATGTGCCTTAAAGGCTAGTAGCTAAAGCCGTTGGTGTCTTCGATTCAGTTGCCTTCTGAAGAAGGTTAAAAATGTGGAACCTCCTTCTGTTGCTTAAGGTATGGTCATTTGTTTGGTAACTTTTGGGGTCAAGTGAAATCAGGGAAGCATGTCTGCATTTGATCTTTTCTCTTGAGTCAACCACACCCATCTTGTTTCCCTTATGAGTCTGTTTTTGTTTTTAATATTGAGACCAAGGCTTTTTCCTCTTAACTTCTCTCTTGCCCCTCCACTCCTTTTTGCCGTGACTGCTCGATACATACTCAGCATCTCCACTGTCAAAACAGAAGATGTCATAACCAAGCAATACAAGGAGAAAAGAAGGAATATATATATATATATATATATATATTTATATATTTTTGTGCTTGCAGAATGTCATAGCATACGTTAATTACACCTTTGGGTTTATTGCTGGAAACATGGCAGGCTGTTCTGACACACCTACTGGACCCAAGCTCCAACCTCTCTCATCTTTTCCCACCACTCCTATACCATTAAGTTTGCTCACTAAGGTTCATTGTTATAGTACATCAGTTAAGCTGTCCAAAAGAGGGCAATTGGGCAGTGACAAGACAAGCTCATGTGTAATGTGAAAGAAATGAATGTGGTGATGCATGAAGTGTAATCTCTGCAGTAACATATCAAGAGACACTGGTAGGTAATTCACTAGTCATGGCATTGATTGATAGGCTTAGCAGTCTGCTATAACGATTAGCCCCTGCAACATTAGGAAGAAGCATATTTGAAGTCTAAGGGGTGCCTCTGTGTGCACCTGAGATGGCATAAATGTAAACATAAATATTTTTGGTGTCAGGTTCTTGCAGTAAAGTGGACTACCAGTGCTATTTCCATCTCTTTGAATCAAGGTTGGTTTTGTTCCCTAACTCCCTCACCCAAAGTGGCTGGAGAATTCAGTCATGTTGGACTAGAACACAATTTTTTTTTTATCAGAGAGATGATGGCTTAAAACCGATGTCATTATGAGGTTTAAATCAACTTTCTGCTTGCTTGAACATGGTCACCTGGGTATGGATGTACAAGGACAAAAAAAGGTTGATCAACTCTGTTTGTCTTGGAGCCACTGATACCTGGGGTTGTAAAATTGAGTTCCATGAGCAGTAATCTGTCACCTGTCCCCACAACATACATTTTTTAAACCTGTGCCTGCGTTTTCTTTTATAATGAAGGGGCCAGTTGTCTTGGAAAAAGAAACCTTGCAAGGCATAGGGGTTATCTGTTAAAGATACTGGTAATGTCCACTTCATAATAAAATCATCAAGATTATTTTACATACCTGTTCATGGCCTTGCCGAGTTAACCTTAAACATGGAAATGTCAAGTATAGGAATAGATAGATAATTAATATTTTGAAGGCCTTTTTTTTTTTTCCTGAAGGTTTTATAATATGAAATGGAGGGATATTTTCTGTTGTTTTTAAGGTGATTGTAGGGTCTTCTCTCTGTTTTACATAATTAGCATATCTGCTTTTCACCTTGGTCTCATTAATCATCTGATCCTCCCTAGCACCAGTAATTTCATATAGAAATATTCTTTCAGTCTCATCCTGACCTTTTAATTTTTAAAATGTAAACTCTGGGTAGCAGAAAATTACATGCTTGGTTATGTACCTGCTAATGGATTTAACTTTGTACTATTCTTAGTCTTCCATTTTGGAAGAAATGCATACTTTCTGGAAATTTGATATCCATTTAAGTCTGATGAGTGACTAGGTTACCTTTTATCTGTCTAACATGAGGTTTTAGCTGTCACATAACAACACCCTTTGGTAGGTAGTGTTCATTGAACTAACGGTTTAACACCCCTAACAATGCATGGCATCGATGGAGGAGAGCGATTTGACTGCCTCTGTGTTAAGCGTGTTGAGAACGTTCTTAAAAGTAATTATCACATTGCAGTTTGACCCAGAAGTATTGCTGTTGTCACTTAATGAGTCACTATTTTTATTTACTGTTTTTCTCTATGGATAATGAAACTGATGTGCCAGCCCATTGGAATAGGTGGTGAGCAGAGTAACATTAATGCACCCTGTAGGTATATCAAGTGGTGAATACATTTGTCTTTGTCTTTATTTGCTAGATAAACAGTTTGCTTTTAAAACAGCATCGAAGTTCTGCTTTTCTTCGAGAGAAAGTGGGAGTTAACACAGTTCTGAGAACCCTGTCCTTGTCTTCCCGTCTCCCATGCAGCTGACCCAGAAATCAATTAGTTTGAGTTGAAAAATTGGTGGCTTGTTCTTTTCATGTGTTTACTCTCTAGAAAATAAAAATAGGTGTTGACTTGTGTAGTTTTATATCAATATGCTATCATCAGCAGACAAGCCTATTAACTATTGTTTCCATTGAGTAAACAGTGGTCTGAGGGTCACCCGTGTTCACAGGTAATTGTTGGTGTGCAGACAGCAGTGGCAGGCCTGCTAGCTACAGATGCGTCCCACCTGTCACTTGGAAAGGTGTTTGGAAATAATAGCCCAGATGCAGCAAAACCGGACTTGGGATTGTGGAGTGACCTTTCCCTTTGTTTAATTTGCCTCCGAGGTTTAATTTCAGGGGACAAGTGATAATTGAATATGCCTAATAACTAAATGCTCATTTGGGACAAAGTCCATCAAAATATAATTGGCATTTGATTTTTATGAAGGGAGAAGAAAACTGTCGAGGATGCCTTCTAAGAATATCTGAGCACTTAATGTATCATTTGAAGCCTCCTTTATAATATATATTAATTGCAAATACTTGAGCATTTGAACATTTTCGTGGAGAACCGTTAGGAGAGACCAACTGTTTTTGTTAACGCTCCCCTCAGAAAGGCGGGGAAGGTTATTGGTCTGCTGTGCAATAATTTACTCCTCTTTGATATGCAAAGGATCCACGGTGAATATAAAAAAATCCTATCAGACTCATTTCACAGTTCTTAACCACTCGGATTCTCTGGAGTCCATCGCCTCATTAGACCAGTGCTCTCCAATGCTAGCATAATTAAAATCTTTAACAGTTTAGCAAAGTAAAGATGTTTGGCTGATCACGTTGAGATGATTATCTATCCATTGTATTCTAAATGACAAAAATAAATTAAATTTAGACCTTGGCATTTTTTATTATGTGTTTCAAATGAATATAATGCGCACAGCCTTCTTTTTTAATTCAATACCTTAGGTTTGGTAGGAAACATGCATGTTTCGGCTGCGGCTGTATAGTCAGAAAATGGCAGGCTTTCTGGGTAGGCTGTGTTACAGTTGATTGAAACAATGAACTGCAATCCAGAGGTCCACTTCTCATGTGGTATTGCCTTACGATGTTCAGGGCTTATGGTTTCTTTTCAGTGTTCCCCCAAAGGAAGTTACTGTTTGTTGTTGTTAGTTGGCATCTAGAATATTTTTCTTCTGTGCATGTATCGGCTAGAATCTGCATCAAGGTGGGATTTGGAAATCCTGAGCTGCAAGAGGCATGCCACCAGGATAAAGACTAAGAGGCCCACAGTTGTGACAGTGGTATACTGATTGTGTGTCTTCTTGGGGAAAATGCTGGATTCACTCCTTAAAAGGCCCATGTGCATTTTGATCCCCTTTAAAAAAAAACAAGAGAACTTTATTACTCCAAGTTTATTTTACGTTTTCATTTTATTCTGCAATGGTTCATTACCATTGATCTAAGAAATGACAGTAATAATAGTGTTACTTGTATAAAAAGTTATACAGTTTTTCAGTAGACACATCCATCAATTAAACATGTGGTACTCGAAACCAAAATTAATGAGGAAGATAGGTGTGTTAATGAAATAATCATAGTATAATCAATTTGACTGTTAAAAGTTGAAAAGCATTTCAGGAAGACGATATGAATTCATAATTTATGTCTAAAAGTGATTAATAAAAACTATATTTAATAACAAAGCTATTTGTCATCATTTAAGACTTAAGCACAAAAATTATTCACTTTGTAGTTCATATTGTCATAATAGTATAGTTGAACTAATTTATTTTGAGCCCTTTGTGTCTAAAACTAAGGTAACATCGATCTACTTTTTGTCATAAAAAATTGAGAAATAGCACTTTGGATGGTTAGAGGCATATTATTGTGGCAAAGCAACTGTGTTTTGAATCCGTTTCACCTGAATCTTTTATGTGCGAGGAGGGCAACTTCCACTCAGTGGCTCAGTAGGAGGACACACTTTTTACTACCACATCTGCCTGAGTTGGGAGGGAAAAAAAACTGCACTCACCAAAAAACCCCCCTAACACTAGGCTTTGTTTACTGACTCTTTGATTTAATTACTGTTTGAAGAGGACGGAATTAGCTGTTAATTGATTTAATTATCCAATTTGTTTGTTTCAGGCATGATTCCAACAGAACTGCAGCAGCTCTGGAAAGAAGTAACGAGTGCTCATACTGCAGAAGAAACCACAGGCAACAATCACAGCAGTTTGGATCTGACCACGACATGTGTGTCCTCCTCTGCACCTTCCAAGACCTCTTTAATAATGAACCCACATGCCTCTACCAACGGACAGCTCTCAGTCCACACTCCCAAAAGGGAAAGGTAGGAACCAGCCACTGAGATGGGTCCCAAACTGCCTTTCACATTAGAGGGGTGGGTGGCCCTGCCTCGCTATATCTCAGTGATCCCTAATTGGATCCATGTGACTTGAATGTGCATATAATTACTGAAGAATGTATTCAGCATGGTTTGGGTGTGAAACATCTAATTATTTTCACCTTTTCAACATGGAATTAGCACTTATGTAGATCTACTCTCAGCTTAGGAACCCGGGCAGAAGTCGTGTAGTTTCTCATTGGATGGGTTGGATTTCCAGGCTTCCAGACCTACTCCTTCTGCCAAGTGCTCACTCCGTACAAGCTGAATTCCTTGGCTGGAAGTGCCTTCTAAGGGAATAGTAGTGTCTGCTGTGGGCAATTTTGAATTATGGTTTGAGAAAACATAGAACTTATGTTACTCTACATTGCTCCCCTTGAAGGCTGGGCGCCCATGTTTTTCATCATTGTGCCCCGGAGCACATGGTCTTTTCCGTATGTATTCTGCGTGAAGGTTTGGAGGATGGAGAGACAGAAGAGGTAGTGGTGGTGGCAGCGGGTGGACGAGGGGGTCTGTTGTATATACTCACATAAACAGACAAAGCACACTTTCTCTTCATGGCAGGGTATAGTGTAGCATTGTCTCAGCAGCTGTATTCCTATTGAGAAGTTAAGATATTTTATTTTTGAATTGTCCTGGGCTTTACATGAGTTTTACTTGAAGCTGAGCTTGTCTCAGAGATCTGGAATAGGTTATGTTAGCATGCAGTTCTAAGAAAATAAAGCTGTTAATTCATGTTATTATGTCTTAGTACCCAGAAGCAATAATGCTACTGTTCTCAGTGTTTTTCAAGAGTAGAAAATACAGTTCCTAAAATTGAAAACTTTTTTTGAGTTTACCGTCTCTAAACTGTTTTCTATATATTTCATATGCAGAGCTTCCACACACAAAAATGCCATTTCTAGGAGGAAAAAGCAAATTCTGTATTTTGTTTTTTAATCAAAATGGCTCGGGATAAACTTTATATATTTCAGTTATAGAGTTACAAATATAATTTCTTATATTTCTCAAAATATTGAGCATTAAGAAGCCTACTGGTTTAATTAGATGTATATCTTTATACCAGAAAAATATTATCTGAACACACACACACACACACACACACACACTCTCACACTCCCCATGTTCAAGCATAAAACCATGAGTGATTATCAGAGAGGAGGATAATATATAGGTGCTTTAACTAAAAGTTTCAACTGTCTTTCCAAGATCATTTTGGAATTTCTGAGGCAGACACCTGAGAACTAACAGAGGCATTAAGCATATTGGTTTAGAAGAGTTTGAAGAATAGAAGGGTGGACACTAAGAATCAGTTTGGAGCCCTTGGGTGAGATGTGGCTTGTGTTGTTTCCAACGAGGATAGATACGTATGTCTGGAAGCCAATCTTAGCTCTTGCTTTACAGTCTCTTATAGTGTCTTTTTTTTTTTTCCAAGAAAGTAAACCTTAGATAACATTAAAGAAAAGGTTCTAGGCTGTTGTCCTTTGCTGTACTTGGTTTTGATGTCTTAAGGTTGATGCGTCCATTTACTGCAGAGCGATTGAATTACATCTTTATCCATAGGCAGAGCAGGAGGCCATACACTGAAAAATGCCGACTGATGCACTTAAGGTATTTGTTGCAGTCTCGTCGGCCATTGTGGAGCCTGCACAGATTTCCTGTGACATAGAAAACTCTTCTTGTTTAGATGCACTGTGCTCAGTTTCATTTTCTAAAAGGTTCTATATCTGCAGTCAGGTGATAGATTAGCAAGGAGGCAAGTGGGAGAAGAATAGCCTTTTTCATGTCTTACGGCACATTTGAAAGTAAATGGATCTAAGAGACAGTCTGATTCCAGGAGACTAAGTTTGTTTGAATTTTTTTTATAGTCCTTATTTGTCTGCACAAAAGTTGTGCTTAATCTTCATTATACTACACACCAGAATTAGAATATGGATCAGAAAAGAATTCAGATTTTAATGAGCCTTAATCTGGTTGTAAAAGCAGGCTGAGTTTTCCAGTTGTACATGCAAAAAAGAAGCAACTATGAAATTGTATGCCACTACTTAATCTCTTGAATCTCTCAGTTTGTATTATCTGGTAGGTTCCTAGATGTGGCTAGATTAAAAGAAAAATTCTAGTCAGCACATTTTAACTGAATGTAGCTAACAAGGCAAATGAGCACCTTCAGTTAAAGATAATTCAGAAGTTTTAAGCTTATAGAATTGAAAACTCAATTAGGCCTGGTACAGTGGTTCATGCTGGTAATCTCAGGACTTTGGGAGGTCGAAGCAGAAGGATTGCTTCAGGCCAGGAGTTCAAGACTAGCCTGGACAACATAGAGGAACCCCAATTTCTATTAAACATCTTTTTAAAAAATTAACCTGATGTGGTGGCATGCACCTGGAGTCCCAGTTACTCGAGAGGCTGAGGTGGGAGGATCATTTGAGTTCAGGAGTTTGAGGCTGCAGTGAGCCGTGATCACACCATTGTTCTCCAGCCTGGGCAATAGAGCAAGATCCTGTCGCTTAAAAAAAAAAAAAAAAAGGCAATTTTTAGTTAGCCAGCTTTGTATACATATAAACATTTCAAATGAATATTATGTAGCATTATGTTATTAGGCTTAATTTAAAAATCACATATGATACCCAGTTAAATACCAAAACCAAAACAAACAAAAAAACCTGTCACTGTAAAGGTTTGGTCTCACTGTCCACTCATCTGCCAGTTGTCTCAGGAGTTTCTTGTCACTGCCTGTGATAAGGTTTCTCTCTTACTCACCAGTGCATTTGTGAAATATGTGTCCTTCCAAGCTCTTCTTTGATTTCTGTGTAATATTCTTTTCTCTCCATTCTGATGGGCAAGGAAGAGTCTCTGCCACACTGAATTACCATCTAGCCCCATGACCTTCATCTTGGGTTAGCCGCTTTAAGATTTCTTTCTGACATGATCTGGGGGTACTCGATGGGAACATTTGTTGGATAAAGGTAGTGTTGTGAGAGTTTTTGTTTATTTTCAAAGTAGCGAGATGGCTAATGATCTCAGCTGAGTCACGTATTTATTTCCATGCCATTTGGAAAACTCTTTCTCCCCCACTCTTGCCCCCGTGCATTTTGCTGGCTCCTGTGAGCAGCCACTGCAGTAGCAGCAGCTCTGGGGTTTGGTGAGCTGCAATCTGTTGAGGAGATAAATAATGTGCTTGGCACGACACTCCTACTCTCCTCTTTAATTTGTCTTACACAAGGAAAATTATAATTAAATCATTCAGGGTAAACCCTTGAGTGTAGAGAAGGGAAAAAACACACTTTGGTAAAGATTGCCAATAGAAACCCACTTCCCTGTTGCGCAGGGTAGGGACATTTATCAATATTCAGCACTATTACGGGAGGAGCGGCCCATGTGATTTGTGAGGCGGATGCCAACGTTCAAATCAAGGCTTGTTAAGATCCTGTCCCTGCGTAATCATGGACATTCAGCATCATTAGAATTCAGTACTGGCACTGTGCCTCATGCTTTGATTTTCTCCCGACAATTTAATAATGTTTATTGTGCTGATTATATATAAATTCATTGGTGCAATAAACATGCTTCTGTTGTCAGTGCCTGAGAAAAATGTGGTGGGGATCAAGTTCAATGGCAGCAGCTAAAGGAGCTGCAAGAATAAGCAGGTGCATTCAAGCCTCTTCCTGTCATTTGATTCCATAGGAACAGATAGTCTCAACTTTTAGGGAAATAGACAAAACTCAGGCCTGGGATAACTGTAAATGTAAAGAGACCGTCTTGTTTCCCTGTCTGATTGTCTTGCATTAGGAAATTCCAAGTTTTGGTGTGGGTAAACAGAATCAACAGAATGCAAATGAAACATTTATTAAAATGCTAAATTTAGTAAAGCCCTTTGAGCTTCTTGGATCAAAGCAGCTATGTAAATACAAATAGCAATTACTACTTAAGTAATTGCCTGAATTAAAATTTGAAATATCATATTACATTATGATGCACTAGGGAAAGGGACGAGAACTCGCATTTAATCAGTTCCATCTCTGTGCCAAGCACTGGCTAGACTCTGGCTTATGGAGTGATGTCTCACTTTATCCACATGCTCACTTGGGAAGCAGTAAGGATTATTATACCCATTTTACAGATGAGGAAATCAAATAATAGAAATTAAATAACCCAGGGTCATAGAATTGGTTAGTGGCATATCCAAGATCCAAATTCAGGCCTTTTTTTTAGTCTGTAAAATAGTACTTAAACGTTTTTATTCAGCTTAGAAGTGAATACTAAATTATGATAAAATCAGTGTCCCTAAAAGAAATTTTAAACTTAATCGAAATCAGTCAGACAAAACATTTATTAACTTAACCTACTGTTTGCAAATCACTGCATTTAAAGGAAAATATCAGAATTTTTTTTTAATGCTTTTATGGTATATATTCTTATTTACTAGGCCTTTCATGAAGTGGGGTAAGTGAGATTTACAAGATATAAATAATTTTGGTCTGAAACAGCACATAAAGAACAAAAATGAACCTTCTGTGGGATTTGCACACAGGCAGATCTAAAACAAGCTGCTTTCCTTTAATGTATCCCCACTTTTCCTCTGCCTTCTAAATCCTGTGTTTCCTCAATGAACACATCATATGCTTTTTATTCCATTTCAGTTGTCCTCTATAGTCCAAATCAGAAATATTCCCTTTTTTTCCTGATCCCAGCTTGTTTGCTTTCAGTTCAGCCACCATCATTAGATGTTTTGTAACTTGGGTATTTCTCGGATTCATAGCTGTTCTAAATATTTGTTCCAAGGTGTCCTTAAGCATTTGGTCAAAGATCTTTCTTTAAACCCTGCTCAGATGGTGGTTGGGCAGCTTCTGCTTTTTGGGGGGCATCATATTCTCAGAAACAGGGGACCCACACTGGGCGCGTTTCTCTATGAGGTCTAACCTGCCTTCTGTCCAGTCATGATCTTC